ATAATAATTTTAAAAATATAAAATAATTTTGCTTTTACCATATTATTTGTTGGGATTGTTTACCCTGTGTGTGTGTAATTCAGCTTTTCAACCGCAGCTCCTTTAGGCACTTAGACCTGCAGTGACTTGACTTTCCCAGCTGGAGAAAGTGCTTTTTACTTGTCTTCCACTTTGTGCAGGAGGAGATCAAAATTCCAGTTTTACGAACCTTCCCCAGAAGAAGACACATGTATGTAAGGACTGATGATTTATCAGGTGTAAAGACTCTTAAAGAGAGAGTTGTTCACTGTGTTAATCCAAGAGTGCTGTGTTTAAGTAAGTCATGATTGGAGGTGGTACGTGATGAGGGTTTGTGCCTTGTCAGGGAGGATTTTCAATTTGAAAGAACAGGAATTTTCTTCTGAAGAGAGTAGAGTGGCTGCATGTTTGTGTCACTGAAGAGGTACAGTGGAGCACAGGCCAGCAGTATTTACAGGCCTGTCCTGTGGGTGGCAGGTGGAATAACACCTTTTTCCCTGCCATGGTTTATCCCTACTAGCTGCTAAGCACTCACAGCCACTCATTCTCCCCTCTGTCCCCAACATAAAGAAAAGATATGAAGAGCAAAAGTGAGAAAACTCATGGGTCGAGGCAAAGGTCTCCAGTGTCAGGAAGGTGAGGAGGATGGGTGATGATTCTGAAAAGACATCACCTATGGTTTTCAAATTTTCTGCTTGTTGGCTGCTGTAGGAAACGTTATTCCACCTGTGCCTAAAATCGCTGACTGGTGATGCAAGAAAAGCAGTGTGACAGGAGAAATGCATCCTAGGTGTTGGCAGTAGTGACATAAAACATTTTCATTTTTCAGTGGTCCTTTGATAAGACTGTTGTTTTCTCTGTCACCTTATATGTAGTATTAGAATGGTTTAATTCAGAAGGTCACAGTGTACAAGTAACAGTGGTTGTAAAACTCTCATCCAGGAATCCAGAAGTAAACTGATGCTCTATTTTTATGTACATTTTTGAAGGTGAGTTATGAGGCATTAATGCCTTTATTATAGCAAGTTCAGATGATATTTAGCCTTCACTGCACATGGGAAACAATTATTCATGAGTGTGTAGGGAGGTAGTGAGTTGGTTTTGCCTCAGCGAGAGTATAATGATGTGGAGTAGAGCAAGGAGTTCGAGTAACTTAAACAATAAAGCTATTCAGAAAATTCACAGCCTTTTTCAGAAATCTTTGACACAGCTGCCCAGAAACGGGGCTTTGATGGGAACATGCTCCCAACAGATGTTGGGCTGGAGGGTGGAGCCTGCTCTTACTAGTACTGACCAGCAGCAGTGAGCAGTCCTGTGGGAGGTGTGCCTGGGTAGGGGGGTTCCTCTGTGCTCAGTGACCGAGTTCTGGGAGGTGAGTGGGTTGAAGAGTAACAGGGAGAGAGAGAGGGACCAAAAGCTACCTGCTTTCCCTGACTCAGGCTTGACAGGCAGACATTTCATGACAAAAAGAATTCCCTTTCCTCTCTCTGCCTGGGTGTACACAGTGACTTAAGGGATAGGAGGCAGTGGTGCTGGGTTCCTGCCTGGTGTAGCTGGCGTGTCTCCCCTGTGGCTGCCCCACCTTCCCATAACAGGTATGAGGTTCTGCAAGGGAAACTGAACAATAACAAGGACACTGGTTCATCCAGCATGGAAGTGTTGCTGAGGCTGGCCTGTGCTCTGCATCAAAACTTCTTCCATAAAGAAAAAAGATGTGTCATTTCCATAGGAGAGTCCCTTCTGAAGGGAACAGGAGGTACTTTATGCCAACCCGCCCTGCCTCCTTGGGGCTTGGGTTAAAGACATGAAGAGAAACCTTCCTGCCCTGAATACTGCCTTTGATTGATTATCCTTGATTTATTTTGATCAATCTATAATGAAGTTGCAACAAGAAGTATGAGCAAGTCCCTGAAGACTGTCCCAAGTCCCTGAAGTCTCTCTGAGAGCAACCAAGAGACTTCAGGGATTTGTGACAACTGGTAGAGGGATCAGGAGCACAAGTGGCATTTTCCTCTATCCTTTCAGGTGTAGAGAAGATGAGGGGAGAAACAGGAAAAACCAGCAAGCCAGCAGATCAATACCTGGCTCTAAGCCTGGTGTCATCAGTAGAATTTTGATTTTTGGGGCTTTTTTTTGGTCATGGGTCAGTTGACTTGACATCAAGTCTACCAGGACTGTGGAGGTCCTGTTGTCTGGAAATTAGCAAAAGTGACACCCATCTACAAGAGTTGGAAGGAAAACCTTGCCGTCAGCCAAACCTTGGTGCTGGGTAAGGTCATCTTGAATGCTCTCACAAGGCACATGCGGGTCAGACAGGTGATCAGGCTCAGCCAGCACAGATTTGTGAAATGCATGTTCTACTCGTCCAGCCTGATGCCCTTCTATGCCAAGACAACCCTCTTGGTGGGTGAGGGAAAGGCTGTGAATTTTGTCTACCTGGCTTTAGTAAAGCCTTTGACACCATTTTGCACAGCATTATCCTGGAGAAACTGACTGCTTATGGTTTGGAGGAGTAAAAAGCTGGCTGGATGGTCAGACCCAGAGAGCAGTGATGCATGGAGTTCCATCCAGCTGGCAGTCAGTCACAAGTGCTGTCTCCCAGGACACAGTGTTGAGGCCAGCCCTGTTTGATGTACTCATCAACCATCTGGAGAGGATCAAGTGCACCCTTGGTCAGTTTGCAGAAAACACCAAGTTGGGTGGGCATGTTGTTCTGCTGGAGGGTTGGAAGGCTCCACAGAGGGATCTGCGCAGGCTGGATTCATGTGCCAAGGCCAATTTTATGAGGTTCAACAAGGCCAAATGCCAGGTCTTGCACTTGGCTCACAACAACCCTATGTAGCACTACAGGCTGGAGGAAGAGCAGCTGGAAAGCTGCCCCATGGAAAAGGACCTGGAAGTGCTGGTCAACAGCAGCTGAACATGATCCAGTGTGTGCCCAGGTGGCCAAGAAGGCCAATGGCATCCTGGCCTGGATTATCAATAGAGTGGCCAGCAGGACCAGGGCAGTGACCGTCCCCCTGCACTTGGCACTGTTGAGGCCGCAGCTCAAATCCTGTGTCCAGTTCTGGGCCCCTTAATACAGGAAGGACTCTGAGGTGCTGAAGCATGTCCAGAGAAGGGCAACAGAGCTAGGGAAGGGTTTGGAAGGGTCACAAGTCTTGTGAGTACCAAGTGGAGAACGTGGGAATATTTAGTGTGGGGCAAAGGAGACTCAGGGGAGACCTTATCACTCTCTATAACTGTCTGGAAGGAGAAAGTTGGTCTGCTCTCAGATAACAAGCAGCAGAAGAGGAAATGGCCTCAGGTTAGATATTTAGAGGATATTTAAACTGGATATTAGGAAAAATTTCTTCATGAGAGTGGTTGAGAGGCATTGGAACTATTGTCCCAGGGAAGCTGTTGAGTAACTATCGTGGATGTCATTAAAAGATGTTGAATGTCACACTTAGGGACACGGTTTAGTGACAGACATGGCAGCGCTGAGTTAGTCATTGGACTCTGATCATAAAGGTATTTTCCACTCAAAACAATTCTATGAATCTGTAACGATTTGTAGTTAGAATGGAAAAGGTTTGACCATCTTGTACTCCAGCCCTGTAAAATTGCAGCATCCTTTTATAAAGAGGTGTTACTCATCAAGTTTTTTAATCACTTGTATTTTCTCACCTGAGGCGAAATTCTGACCTAATTAAAGTTAATAGGTGAAAACTTAAAACTGTCAGACTCAGAATTTCACTCATTCTGTTTAGGTGCTTTAATTGGAGTAGAGGAATAATTAGGGCATGAGTGATGAGTGGTAGCATAGATACATAGGCAAAGCCATGGAAAGAAGATAGCAATGAATAGTAACAGGCATAAAAGGATAATATTTATTTTTAAAAAAGAAACATAATTTTAAAAATAAAGATACAATAAGTTCGAAAGATAAAAATATATTATTAGTTCAAATCTAGGAAATTCTAAAAATAAACCAACTTATTTTTGCCCTATATGAATTGCATTCAAGGATTAGTACACTAAATGGCTGGGCAAAATTAGCATCAATTACACTGTGATTTCTATCTATAAGCAGGTCAGGTGTCTCTAGAAGGATGTGTCTTGTTCAAGGTGACTCTGCAAACCAAAGAATGCATAAGTGATAAGTATGAATTAATCAGAGATTAATATTTCCTCCTGGTACCCTGGGTTTAGAACTTAGGCACTAGTATACCCTGCACTCTCAAAGAAAAGAATAGCCCAGAAGAGCCAGCTCTTTTGCACAGGCTGTCATGGTCAGTCACATTCATCAACTGGCTTGAATTGTCTCCAGATAAAAAGTGAATGATCAGCATGTTATTTACACCTATGAGGTTATTCTTCCTGCAACATGACCGCAAGTGTCATCCAGAAGGACCAGCTTTTGCTGAGTCCTACAAAGCAGGAATTAAAATAATACTTTGATACATGAGGGTTTTAAAGCAAATAGACTTCTTACTGCTCTTGATAGATTTGGGTTTAGTTTTGGCTTTGTGTTTCCACAAATGGAAAGTTATTTGAAGTATTTTGTAGAAAGCTCAGTGAGTCTTAACCTCAGAGGCCATTTATTTTTAACATGACAAAAAATTATCTATTTCCATAATGGCTGTGTGTGGTCATAATGTCTCATTTTTTGAGTTGCAACTGCCATTGATGTCTGTCATCACTGCTCTTTACAACATAAATTGCATTTAAGAATAAGTTGGTGAGTTTTATTTCTGCATTTATCATCTAGGAGTGTGCACCGCTGATACTTAATTTTTTTTGGTTTTTTTTCTAGTGTAGGTTTTATATTACTGATTGATAATGCTAGCAAATTATCTCCATAGCAGAGTATTACTTTTTTTTGCCTGATATTTGTGATCAGATACTTTTCAGACAGATGTCTCATAAATATATACATTATAGAGTTTTCAATAATTTTTAAAATAAATTCTCTCACTAATTTTCTTTCTTCTTTCTAGTCTGCTCCCAGTTTTCAAGAGGAGTCTTTGCTATTTTTGGATTCTATGACAAGAAGTCTGTAAATACGATAACATCCTTCTGTGGGACTCTTCATGTCTCCTTCATAACTCCCAGCTTCCCAACAGATGGAACCCATCCCTTTGTCATTCAGATGAGACCTGACCTCAAGGGAGCTCTTCTTAGCTTGATTGAATACTATCAGTGGACCAAGTTTGCATATTTGTATGACAGTGACAGAGGTAAGGTGTGGTACTTTTTACCTGCACCCTGTTTGGTAGGTGTATCTCGTTGAAATCTGGAATTCATATTAGATAAGTAAATAATGGAAGAACTATTTACCTCCAACAAGTGTTTAAGTGTAATTGAATCAAGTGTTTCTTACATTTAGAAATGAGCTTTTGGGACAGAAACAAAATTGTTTCAATGAGAATGAAATTTTTATGGTAGGCATTAATAGAATTGTAACTGTTAAGCAATGTAAGATTAGTCACATGCTGTAAAACAGTTTCTATGTAAAGTTTCTTTCTTTTTTTGTTAAAGAAACATCTAAGGAGAAAAAAAAATGATCTGTCTGCTCAGGGCTGAAGGGCTGTCTGCTACCACAGATTCACTCCATGTTTGCAAAATCTGTAGTTGGGCACAAAGCAAGCAATGAATCTTGGATGCAGTCAGTCCCTACTTCTTTGGAGACTGCTTTTGGTATCAAGTTCCTCACCTCTGTTGAGCTTAGATTTTATTGTTGATGTTGATAAACCCAAACCCATTGCTCAGGACCAATTAACTCCACCATACAGCCTTCTCATGCCCTTTTATGACTGTAGTAGAAATAATGTAGCAGTGTATGAACTTGAAAATGTCACTGGCAAATTGTGGTATATCAGTTATTTTTATAAGAAGCAGCTTTATCCAGAAAAGGTGGAGTATTTGATTGCTTTTTCTGGAATTCCATTATTATCATTCTATTTTCAGGTTGTCCTCACCTAGTAGTCCTTGGCTAACTTTCTTCTATTCTTGCCTGGTCCTGTTCTCTTTAAAGAGGCTATTTGGTGGCTTTTCTGGGTGTTCATTGGTCAGAGTTAAATATTAAATGCATTTTTAATTATAAAATGCTAATAGAGTTAAAGCATGGTTATACCACTCCATGGTATTTTGAGTAATGGGGTGACTTTAAATTCCCTGCATTCTGATGCCATTTTATACATGATGATCAGCAGCTGAAGGGGTCTCCTCAAGAAAGTTCTGTATCACTTTTGTGAGCATTCCAGTTAGAAGAACTAATCCTTGTGTGTAGCCTCCAAAGGTAATGTCGCATGGAACAATGAATGCTAAGCTCATTTCTCTGGCAGTTCCTTTTTAAATTCACATTAGAAATAGAAACGTTCACTGTCTTTTTGGAATGGACAGATGTAAAACTACTTTCGCAGCCAGTACTCTGTCAGTCATCTGGTGGTGGGCAGAATGTGATGTGCATGTGATTTATATTTAGGAAATACTGAAAAACACCAAGTTCTTGTGAGCTGCACTGTCTGGATCTGACCAGGAATAACTGCATCAGATTGCTCTTTTTACCACCCTTTGGTTCTTCCTTTTTTTTCTTACCTCTTGGTTTTAATTGTGGCAAGGCACCCCAGTGATAACAAGCTCCAAGGCATGAAGCTCCTACCTTTATGTGGAGTAAATGGTTGCTCCTCAGTGCTCCCCACAGATTGCGTGAGGTTAGCCTGCAGAGTCGAGCAGTTTGTAGCCAGCTACATTGACATCAAATCCCAGATACACAAGTCCACAGTTCTTTAAGCACTTCTGCCTCTTGCTGTAGTGACAGTGATGTATATTTAAGGGATGACACAGAATTGAAGATGTTCCCACATTCAGGACTGAGATAAAAAAGGCAAAGGCATTTACTCTTCATGCAACTATGACAGCTAATAATTAGTTTGATGACTTATTCCTAAAGAATTGTTTATTGCTGGTGTTAGAGCACTTCTGTGTTTAGGGACTGACTGGCTGAAGTACAGGGCGATTCGCTGTCATTCCTGTCCATAAGGAGTGAGGCCATTCAGTATATGTGTGCCCAAGCTATTACTGTCTTAATACAGTACTTATTCTCATGTAATGTGGAGTAGTCTCCTTTAACATCCTTAGATCCTCTCTGCCATTACTAACACTAAGTTTTGGAAAAAGCAGTAGCATTGTTATAAGATTCTATCTGTAAAAGAATTGCTGAGTTATTCAGCCTCTCTTCCATCTTCCTTTTCAAAGCTTACTGCTTTAAAAGTTTGTCTCATGATAACCAAAAGAGGTTCAGGACATGAGTTTCCCAGGCAAAAGCGCTCATGGAGCTTAAAAAATAGCAACTGAAGTTGCTGGAGTTTTCTCCTCTGCAGTCTCCCACTTTTGTTACTACTCTCTAGAAAATTTAACTTTCACAAAAGTATTGCTGCAAATGCTTTCTGTTTGTTGTTTTAGTTTTGTTTGTGTTTTTGCACCATGTTATTGCTATCAGAATAAGCTAAGCTGTATGGGGATGACAAATCTGCCACCAAAAAAAAAAATTAAGCAAGCAATCCAGGCAGCCATTTGATATCTCTGCAGAGAGTACGTCAAGAAAAAAGAAACCCTGGGAAAAACAGAAGATTAGAGGAGTGAAATATAGGAACCCTTTGCAATGGGTGGTATTAGTATTAATAGTCCTTATTAATTTGTGCCTGGTTGAGATTGTTTAACTCAGGAAATTTAGACAAGTTGGAGGACCTGAAATCTGCTCAATGAGATTTGAAACAATTATTCAGAATGAATGGTTTCATTTTGGCTTTGTCTTTTTTTTTAATTTTAATTCGTCATTTCAAGCAGTATTTTGAGGTTTAAACATACTTTAGTGCTTTTCAGTGTTTTAAGATGCTCCCTGCATCTCTCAGCTTGCTTAGATTACTAATATTTCCCTTTTCAACACAAGTTGTACAGATTCATCTTTAGGATTTGAAATAGTTTATATGTACTGCTGGACTGTAGTTGTCTGTGATTTTAAAATAAATATTCATTACATGACATACAAAACTCAGTATCAGTCTTTCTTAAAGAGACTTGGCAAACCAGAAATTATATAAGACAATAATTCAATTTATGCTTTTGGAAGCCTGCCATTTTCTGCCTTTGCTGATGACCAGTCTTGTGTAGTGCTGTATGTCATTACCATTTTCACTGATGAAGATGAATTGCTAAACACTGACCAATCTTAATTTAATATTATACCTACAGACTGTGAGACAGATTAATTCTTTGTGCTCTCCTTCTATGTTTATGGGTATAACTACTATTATTTCTCATGAGAGTTATACCTGAAGTTCCCTTTACATACCATGTCAGAATTTGTCTCAAAGAAATGACTCCTGATATTTGGTGGTTTCAGGAGAGAAAAATGTGCAAAAATGTCAATTCACTCATAAGAAAGTCTAATTTTTTTTCCTGTAATAGTATCTGGTATCCCTAAAACTGCTCTCTAGAATCATGTAGAATTCTCTGGTAGGAATTCAAATATGATAAGTCTCATTCTTGTACTACTGGAAGTCATTAAAATTGTACTTTTTGTATAACAGGAATTAATTGCCAGCAGTAATTTTCATGTTTCTCTACTACATTAGCTCATCCCTAAAAAGAAAATCTGTCAAGTAAAATCTTCACTGGTTTTACAGTATATTGTAGGCAGTTGCATCTGTACAAACGTTACATCTTCCTATCAGGAACTTGCCAAATGTATGAAATGGAAGGAAGCTTCTCTGCACTGCTTGTAGGTGTTAGCATTGAGTCTGCTTATCTATATGGAAAAATATATCTCAGCACATCTTTCATAATCAGGGATGTGACTGTAGGCAGTAGAAATAATAAATCCATTACCATCACTGCAGAACATGGGAATTCTGCCATAGACTTCAGTGAGGTCTGGGTTTAAATACAGTTCTGCTCAAGTGCTGGGAACAAAAGCTGTTCAATAGCTGTTGTTTAAGTAGCTGATCCTTTAATAAGGCTGATCCTTTTTTTAATAAGTGGCTGATGCTTTTGCTGTAATTGGATCACTCCTCTCCTAGAAGATCTCTTTCCTACTCTGTGGAATTCCAGCAGTGGCTCAGTGAAAACAGCAAAGTCCAGTTCTGAAGAAGATTGGGCCAAAGCCAAAATTTGCTCTTAAAAGGCTTTACCTTGATGCCTTGCAGTGATGCAAATGGAAATTTCATGCACTAATAATTGATTTGGCCCACATATATCTTAGTTTCTGATTTCTACCTACTTGTGACAGGTCAAAAAACTTACAGGAGACCTTAAATAAGTGATCGCACAAATCACGTTGTAGAAGCTTGTTAATTCCTGAAGCTTTGTCAGTCATATCTTCTGTTTTCTCCTGTGCTTCACTAGGCTTATCAACGTTGCAAGCTGTGCTGGATTCAGCTGCTGAAAAGAAATGGCAAGTGACTGCTATCAATGTAGGAAATATTAACAATGAGAGAAAAGATGAAACATACCGTTCACTGTTTCAAGATCTAGAGGTAAAAAAGGAAAGGCGGGTGATTTTGGACTGTGAACGCGATAAAGTCAACGACATTGTTGATCAGGTTTGCTATTCTCCTTTCTTCAGTGACAGCAGTTAGCAGTATTCTATAAGTAAATGTAATGAGTTCATTTGTTTTGATGGTATTTTTGTGATTTTTATGAATCATTTGGCAGTGACAAGTTTGTATTGAGGACTGCATACGTGCCAGGGAGAAAGTGAATGTACAAATCCTATAATCCCTCCCTTTGCTCAAAGGCAAGATAATTCTATCTGGATGATCCTGTATAGTTTTCTATCCTGGTTATTTAAAGTAAAAACAGTAATTTACAAAATACCTTGTTCAGACTATTTTACAGCCCAAGTAGTATACTATATTATACATAGTTGATACACTATTATATCCGGTCCAGTATAAGTAGTTATGTCTAAGGATTAGTTCTTTTTACACCTAGAAGGTATTTTCTCCCTCTGATGCATTTTCTGAGAACCTTTTATGTCTAGGGGAGACTGTATCACAGTTTCTCTTTCTCATTTAATGCCCTTCAAAATTTGTGTTTTGAAGCTCTTTGTCATTTGTACTTTCCTTGCTTGTCTCTTCATTTTGTTTCACTCTTAAAGTGTGTTAACCAAAACTGGATGCTGTTTTTCATAGCTAATTCCTCCTGAGCTTTAAAAAGAACAGCAAAATCTCTTCTCTCCATGCAAATTATTTGCCAAAATAACTTTTTTTAAAACTGTTCTTTTTAGCAACATTATCACGGTACTCTGCTTCAAATTACTGCATTACTTTGAAATCTACCACTTCAGTCCTAGAGTCTAGGAAGTTCTTACTGGCTCTGTACCTTCCTATTTTTCATGCATGCAGAGCACAATGGAAAATTGTAAGGATAGTTCCCTGTTGGCTTGAGCTTCATCATGTGAGACTGTGTAGCATCAGTAGGGATGTATCATCAGAGTATGGATGTATTTGTTTGAAGGTTTTTTGAAGGGCTTGTTATTTTGGTCTTTGTTTTGAAGGTCATTATATTTTGAAGAGGCTCAGACAATGAGCAGTGTCCTTAATGGAGTACATTGTGTTTGTGTGTTTTATTTGGAATTCATATCCACAAGCTCTTTTTCTAATTTTCAGGATAAATTTGAATTTGATCCTGTTCTCAAGAGCATTTGATGTCTGAGAGTGTGATCTCTCTATCACCTGCAATATTTCAAAATCATATTTTCTGACTTATCAATGTCAAGAAATGTACAATGATATGAAACTTTGGCTGGCTGTAATTTTATTTAGTTTCACCTTTTAGCCACGTTTTATAGACAAGAGCCATCTTTACCCTTCACTTACCACTCATTTTTACAGTCTTTGTTTCATAATAGACCTATTTTCATCTTTGTCTGCTTCTTACTTTGATTGCAGTTCTGGGATATTTTTCTTGCCCTAGTTGCACTTTGATGGATTCTGCCTTTTTTAGACCCTGAGAGTTTCTCAGCTTATCCCCACAGACTTGTGCTACTCCTCAAACACACAGCTGGCTAAGCTTTTGTTTCTGCTGTTTTGATTTGTAAATCACTAAAGAATCCTAGATAACTGAATCAGCCTCACAGGTCAGTTAATATAACTCTAGTTAGTTGTTCTCCTCTAAATAGCTTACTGCTATGCTGGAATATGTTCTCTAAAACTGTTTGCAGCTATTCCAAATGGGTTTAGTTTTGGAATTCTCTTCACAAGATAGCCTAGTTGTTTCTGCACTTTGGTCTGGTTTTTAAGTTCATTATACTTACACTCAGTAACTTCCCTTCCTTACATTTAAAGGTAAACCCACTTTCTATTTCTCAAGCAGCCTAAAAGAAAGCCTAACTAACTGATTCTCTAATAATTTTTTCCGTCCCTTAAAATTAAATGCAGAACAATGGATTTCTTGGCCTGTGAGTATGCCTTGAGTGTGTTCTTCTGATTTTCTTTACTAATAGCAGTGTACTTTAGATCTTGCTTTGCTACCAGATTTATTTTTTGAAAAATTATTTTAATTCCTGCCCTGAAAAAAAGCCCTCAGAAATTTCCTTAATTTCATGAGGATGCCTGAAGTAGACACATCATATCAGTATCCCTTTTTCTATGTATTTTTACTGTAAGAAATACAGCAGGCTTTCTGTTAACCAGATTTTCCTTGAATATATCAGTACTATTTGCATTGCTCGATACATAAAGGAACAACTTCTTCAATTCCTTCCTTGCTTTCTATTGTTGAACAAATGTTTCATTTTAGTCCTATGATTTATCCTGCAAATATTTAAAACCGTGGTGACAGTCTCAGGTGCACCCAGTTACGCTTTGTAGGCCTTGGATCTTTGTATAGGCACAAAATGTATTTGCAAAGTCGCTTCATCATTCTTGCTTTTTGTCTCGTGTTATAGTTTCTCTTCAGATTTCAACAATTCATGTAAGTTGAAAAATATTTCAGTTCCCCAGCTCTCCTCAGACTAGTTTATATTCCTCTTCTCTGATGTGGGGAGTCTGTGTTACTATGCTCTTCATTATATGGCTTCTGTCTCTTCTCAGGCAGCTTCCTTTGCAGAATCTCATTTCACCCTGATAGCACCCTTTGGGCAACTCTGTAATTACTGCCACTATTTGTCTATCCCTGCTAGAGAAGGTCCTCTGAACTGCTGAATATCTTTTGTGTGTGCACAGCTCCTTCATCATGGCTTTTGATACTACCACTGAATTTTCTTAGTTTTAACTGGCAGCATCCTTAGTGTTCATGTGGACAAGTGGCAAGTTATAGCAAGCTGAGTTAATGAAAGAGTACACAGTGGCAGCTAGAGCAGAATTAGTGAGCATTGTTCCAAAGGCTTGCAGCTACTGGTTGTCTTCTCAGATACCAATGATGGCAAAACATTTCATACAGAAGATCTAATCTATTTGGTCTAACTGAAATTTCTTTGGAAGCAGCAGCTATGTAAGAAATACACCTGAAAATAGTTCTTAAACCTCTTAAAAAGTAGTTAGTCTTAAGTAGTCTAATCCAAGTAATTGTTTTGGGATACTTAAATTCCTATATATATATTGACCTCAAAAGAGAAACAATTTAATTACTTCCATGGCCTATGTGATGCGATCCCTCTCAGTCTCAAACTCTAGTAATGTAAACTCAGTGTCAAAACTGCTTTCAGTTATATTTCTGTAACTTCATTAAACCAAGTATTTGGAAGGTTGTCCACTAGTACCCTGATATAAGTTTCAAGATACCTAATCTGAATATTTTAGTTATATGTTAAGTCAGGAAATTAATGAGTCATCCTCTCAATTTAAGTTCATTGTTCTCAATGCTCAAAAGATGGAATAAACCTCTAGACTCCTCATGTCTTACACGTCCTTCCTCTGGAGAAGTGCTTAGCTTCAAAATGCAAACTTCCCCATGCAGACACAGTCTTAATTAGGCTTATTTGGGAGAAGAATCCATGCTACAGGTCTGCCAGCAGAGACTGTTGAGAAACCACCAGCTGCTTTTGAGGGAGATTATGAGGAAGACTTAGGGCAATAAACAATTTGAACTTTACAAGGCTTCCTCATTATTCATTAATGTCAGTGGGCAGAATCTAGCAGGAGTCTGTGAGACACAGTGTTTCTAACACGTGATGCCTGCTCTCTCCTGGCTGGTTGTGCCTTAATACACACCATAGTAATTAGCTTTCAGCTCCTGTGTCTGGAGGGACTCTCCCTCTTGGGACTTGGACTTCAAAGTGACTAATTTCTACCAGCAAAGGGTGTGTTGAGTGGTGCATTAGGTAAAATAAAGGATAAAGTATTGCACAAACTCAGTATTGTATGCCATAAAGCTCTTAACTAGCTTTTACATCATACTGCATTTTGTACCTTTCAAGTCTTTGTCTGTATACCGGGTGAACATTCTCCATTATGGGGGTATTTCTTCTTTTTTACAGGTCATCACAATTGGTAAACATGTTAAAGGATACCACTATATCATTGCAAATCTGGTAAGCATTCTTAGTGTTTAAAATACCTGTATTGCTCATTTGACTGAGTTTGTGGAAGCACATCAACTATTATTTTGTTTTGAATACATCTCAGAAAACAGGAAAAAAACTAGATGCCTTTATCCTTGCAAAATTAATGCATGTCTTGAGATTATATTTGTTTATTGGCTGAGTTTTTTCAGGCTTTAAATGCCTCTTATCATATTCCCATAAACGGGAATGAAGGTTGCTCAGCATCTTCAATAGAACTCCTCTTTTTTTACATACTTTAGAAAAAGAGGGTATGTAAAGAGGGTATCTTTATCATAAGATGATAGACTCATTCAGCAAAGTGATGATTTCTCTCTCAAAACTTTTAAACTATTTTAGAATCACGGTTCTCATGTTTCATTCGGCTAGACTAGCGAGTCTCAGATTTCCATATTTCATCCCTCATATCAGCTGGGTGATCAGTCTGAATTCATGTTTTCTTGAACTTTGGTGATCAGACTGTATAGCTAATAGTTTTCCTGCAGGGAAAGTTCAGAAAACTCACTAAATTCTGTCAAGATAATTTTTTTGAAATTGTGTCTATAGGTGAAGGGCCATTTTACAGATATTAAAGTCTATAAACACTTACTGAAGCTAAGGGAACTAATCCAGGTTTCTTTTGTAATAGACAAAGCAAATTCTGCATACTCAAGTCTCAGTTATCCTGTTCATTTATTCTTGAGCTGTGATAGTGTTTGATAAAAATTCCAGCAGAGCCCAGAGTGCCCCAATTAACACTGTCTTCCACAGTGCTTTGAGGAGCCTGAGGAAACAGAAGGAGCATGGTGTGTCTTTGGCACTTGAGGCATAACCCCTGTCTCCTCCCAGCCTTTGATGGAAACACTTCTCCCTCCAGGCAGGCAGTGCTCTGAAGAGTCATGTGGGTGCCACAGTGTAAAGAAGCCTTTTGCTTTAAAGGTCTCTTTAAAAGCTGAACACTGGGGTTTCATTCTTATATCTTAATAACTAATTTTTGGATAAAGAAGTTGAGGTGCTGATATTCTTAAAGCAGGCATAAAAGTCTTACAATATGTGAGAAATTACCTGTTAGACATCTGTGGTTTGCATTGCAAATGTTGGATAAACAGTATTTTCTACCTTAAGGGAAATTGTAGAAAATGTGCCCAGTGGATTTCATTATGTTAACTGGTTGCTCTTTTAGCTATTGCTTTAAATTTGTAACAGTAAATCCATAATATCTAAAAACTACTGAATCTTATGTTTTAAAGGTGTTAAATATCATGTATAAAGTGTTTATAGAAGTGATTTTAAAAACTTTGTTTTCTCTGTCAGAAGGAAATATTCTGTAGCATTTGAGTAATATCTTCACTGAGTCCACCTGCTTTCTTTTTTTTGATCTGTAGTAGTATTCTCCTCCAGTCTGATCAATCATTAGAGAAATTTATCTATTTTGAAAATTAAAAAATGCTGCTAGATGGAGAAGAGGTTTGAATCTACAATGAATGTTCCTGCTCAACTGTCAAGTTACATGATCCGTGTAGAAGTGTCTGTATTAGCAGACAACAACACATGAGGATCATTAATATACAATAATTAGAGAGCATCTAGTATATTATAGCAATTGGAGCAACTTATGTTACTGTGATTTAAATTTGCTGCTTCTTTTTGTATTCACTCACAACATCCATTTATAATGAAGTGTCTGACATCATTATTTCATGTAAATGCATTTGTATGGTTATTTGGTTGAGGTTAAATCAAAGAAATCAGAACACAAGGACTTTTTGTAAGAATGAGAAGTAGCTTTTTATGTCGGGGGGAGGAGGCAGTGAAGATGGTAAGTCCTTCCACATGCTTTAGAGTTCCTAAAAAAGAGGATACAGCTGTGGCTGTAAGTATTCCTGCCTAAAACATGCTTGCCTGTTACTCATGTGTGGTGTTCCCTTTCTCACCTAAGTGGTCCCCTTGAAATTAACAGGATGTTTAGGATGGCAAGTACAGGTCCTCTCAGCCCTTGCTCTCTACAAAAGTGCTTGTCTGGTGGGCAGCAAGAAGCATTGCTGGCTGATGAAGCTGATGACTTAATCCTGGCAGCCCAGGATTTAAGCTGGATTCAGTTTGAGGAAAGTGTTGGCTTACTGCTCTGCAGTAGAGGTCATATGGAAACTCTTTCTTTTTATACACTATTAAGAGAAGTGCCAAAACTGTTAAAATAACAGACAATTTTTTCTGTGCTCAGGGATTTACTGATGGAGATTTGTCAAAAATTCAGTTTGGAGGAGCTAATGTCTCAGGATTTCAGATAGTTGACTATGATGATCCTGTGGTGTCAAAATTTATACAACGTTGGTCAACACTGGAGGAGAAAGAATATCCTGGTGCACACACTAGTACAATAAAGGTATGTTTTATGTTTGTTTTAACTGCACTAGAAGTACGGGAAGTTAAGGGTTTTGAATAGAAATGCAAGAGACAGAGAAAGCCCTTGAAAATCAATAGTCCCAATACAATTTTATATTTCTCTGGGGTACTTTTAACATTCTCTGTCATAGGACTGATTGAGCAAAGATGCTACACTTAAAAATTAAGACAAAATGTTCAAGACAATTTTTTTCTTGTGTCACTGTAAATCTGTGCCTGGCAGCTTGTTAGGTAATTGGTTTAGATATGATAGATTGATGATAGATTAACTAGATCTACTGACTTTTTTTTTATTTTTCTTTTTCTCTGTTTTAAAATGTTTCTCTTTCTCTGTATTTTTAAATATTTAAAGACAAATATTAATTATGCTTTCGGGGAGCACATATTACTTTTATAATGTAACATAATAACCCAAAGAAATGTTTAGACAGTTTCTTTGAGACAGATGCCTAAATTCTACAAAGACTTAAAAAGTTAAGTTCTATGCCTGACATACAGGATTGTGGTCTGATTTCAGGCCTGCATGATACACAGTGTAACACTGGGCAGGTGGTTTAGCTTTTTTGCCTCAGCTTTACTTCTGGATAAGACTAGGGTAATAGTACCTTCTCACTTTCTCTAACTATCATGACGATCAATTAGTGGCTGCAAGATATGAAAAAGAATAATTCAATTTTAATGTTAGATAATTTTTAGATAATACAATCAGAAATTTTAATAAGAACATATTCTTAAATAGCTCTAAAAGATAAAAAAATAAGTTGCAAATGTTCTATCCGTATCTTTTTTTATGCTGTAGTTTGAATATGAAGCCTGTATAATTAAATAGATAAAAAGTTCAGCATGGAAGGAAGAACCATTTTTTTCAAAGGCCTAGTAGAAAAGTCCTTTAAAACACACAACCTTATTTTTAATTAAAAAAATAATATAGATTCCTTTTTTTATGAAGCCAAGTTTGGTAATAATTTAGTCAAAGTGATTTTTTTATGTGGTTATTTTTGTAGTTTAAAATCTTTATGACAGACGTAGTGAATTTCTTACATGATGTTTGAAACAGTAAACTGGAGTCTGTGTCAGGTCTTTAGGTACATTTGTATTACAGATGTGTAGTATATGTAATCTGTATTACTCTCATTTAGGAAAAAGGGAAGGGATGTGGCTGTGGAGAATTAACAGAATCCTTTTGACTCTCTGATTCTTGAGTGCCCGAATATACCTACATATCCATGTTGCAGAATCATAGTCTGGAAATAATAATAGAGAAATACATAAAACATATGACTATCGTGAAGAACTCAAACTGAAACCAAAATGCAGTTTTTATCAGTGATGGAAAAATAAATGGGTGAGACACACAAGGTCTCTGGTGTTACTTACGCTGGAGGGAAATTGCATGTGTGTTAGATAACATGAAGTGGCTGCAATGTTGTATTAAAGCACTAAAATCTCCAACTCTGTCACAGGTATTCCCCTCATTTCCTCCATGATAAATCCTTTCAATTCTAGTAGAAATTGAAAGAGCTGAAGGAGGGTATTTGCAATATCTTCTGATTTTGTTATGGATAGGAAAAGTAAAGTATCTGGAATTTCATTAATTTAGAACACTTTTTAAATTAGTTTAAAAGGCCGACCTCTCTTCCTTTTTATATTGTTTGCTCAAGACATATATAGGACTGCACTGATACTCACTTAAGAAATTGAGACCTATGTTAGATTATCAGATAACTTATAAATGCTAGAAGTATTGATGGTGAGGAAAGTGTGGATGTATATTGCAATATTTGGTGACATTGATTGTATCAGTGACTGTATTTCTTTGTGTAGCTTTCTATCTCTTGCTGTTATACACAAATTACTTGTCATTTTTTCTTGTCTTTACAGGTAGGGTTAGAGATATGTCACATTTCATTCCCACCCTTGTGGGAGCTAGAGGCAGGGCAGAATCGTAGAAATCATGGAAGCAGGGCCAGAAAGGTCACTGAGCAATCAGTCACCTGTCTGTCCTGCTTGCCTGAAGTCAGAATCAGATAAACCTGTGCAGTTCCTCTGAGTAGTGATTTCACGGCTTCTCCAAGCATCTATTTCAGCACTTAAATGATCTTCGTTTTGGCTTTTGTCTAACCTTAATCAGCCTTTATATCACCTAATCCATTACTCCTTTATATGTTTCTAATGGCTGTGAGATGCTTCTGCTTTTTCATTGTCCTCCTGTATTTGAAAATGGCTGCCACCCTTTCTGCCTTGATTTCCTCCCTGCAAAATAAAATAATCCCTTTTTCTTATGAATTTTCTGCTCTCAGATCCTGTTTGTCATTTTGCTCTGGAACCTTTCTATTTGGTACCTCTTTGAAATGCCAGACTGGCTACTGCAACACATCTGAGTGCTATGATGAGGAAATGGAAATAATGGCATCGTGTGTCTCAGAGACAGTACTCATTTCAGGGGGTTCTTTTGTATTAGTTTCTTATTACTTTTTTTTTTTTCCTCTCCTTACCACCAGGACACTAGTGAGATGTATTTCTCGTGGGATACATACTAACAGCCAAATCTTCTTCTGCATTGCTTTCTTGTGCTGCTGCTGATTTAGATGGGCTTATACCATATCTGTCCACTTAAACATTACTTTTATGTACAGGCTTTTTTCATCAACTTGTGCTGAATTGCATTTCTTACCTGTCCTTTGTGAGTATTTCATTCCTTCTTATGTTGTTATTCTAGCTCTGTTGCCCTCTGCTTCTGTATAAACATCTAGATTACTGAGCAGGTTAATGCACTGGTCTCCTACTTGTCCCTTAAGTGATCTTACAAATAGCTTTTCTCCCCTTTTGATTTTGAGGTAGCTGTCTAAATTGCCAGTGCTGATAAATGAACTTTTGCTCCCAGTCCCGTGGAATCCAGAAAACTCTTGCTGCAAATTCTGTATGAAACAGATAGGAAGGCTGACAAGAGCCCTGCATCATCAGTATAGAAATGATAGGTGGTTACATGCCCCTAGAAGGTAATATTATCTCTGGGATTGTAACTGTTCTATCATTGCAGACAAAAGCATTGCAACTCTGTTGTATTATCTTCCTTTTGTAATCCAAAAGCAAGTGTGCATTAATTTCACATTACAAAATGCAAGTCAATGGACTATGACTGAGCTGATAAGACATATCACAGCATCCAAGTACAGTCCTGAAAATAAAGACACCCTTTCTAAGAAAAAGTGTATTTCAAAGGAACATGCTCTTCAAGAAAGAAGAGCATTACTAAAAGCCTCTTCCACAGATGCCCAGAAGAGAATCTGTCTCAAATTGCTTTTAAAATGTAACTTTACAATTTATAAAATATTAATTATAAAAAATTACTGTCTTAGGACATAGATGAGAAAAGACACTGATCTCATTTGTTGCTGCACTGTACCTGTACTGATAAAAGCATGTTTTATAGATTAAGCAGGGTGCTTAAAAAAAGTGATTTGCAGACTTTTTTACAGAATATTTTTGCATCTTTGACAAATAATGCTGGTTCAGGATTTACTTCAAATTAAATTTAAAACATTTCTGTTGTAACCAAGGGTGTTACTAGTCTATGATGCAGTTCTAGAAGAGCTGATGTGTAGATCTTGAAACATAGAGTTGAGCATCCTGGCTAATTTTTTGTCAAGTCGCACAAAGAAAAAGAAAATGTTTCATTTTATAAAGGCCTAATAATAACAAGTGGAAATTTTCTTTTGATTCAGTACTGTGTATTTACAAATATGCTGGGCTTTTTGAGCCTTAATGTTGTTCCAGGCTGTTACATTTAAGGCAAGCTTCTTGATTTTGTGGTAGGACACTGAAGGACAGCACATGCATTCATGTCCAGCTGCTCCAATTTGCTAATCTGATTAACCCATACTCTCGAGGCGCAGCCTTTGGTCTATTTGCCAAAAGAAGCTCGATCTGTATCTCTTGAAGGCGAGTGAGACATAAGTTATATTGCCTTTGTGTGGCAGGGTTTTGGTAGAAGGGGACCATAGGGTTTTTGAGAAGCTGCTGGAACTTTCCCCCATGTCCAATGAAGTCAATACCAGATGGCCCCAAGACTGACCCTCTGCTGGCAAGGCCAAGCTCGCTAGTGAAGGTGGTACTGCCTCTGATAACACATCCAAGAAGAGGACAAAGCTGCTGCACAACAGCAGCCAGAGGGAGGAATGACAATATATGAAACAGCCCTGCAGACAGTGCAGAAAGACGGACAGGGGGTGGACCAGGTCCCAGAGAAGAAATTTCCCTGCAGAGGAAGAGTGTGAGGAGTCCACCCTGTGAGGAGGAAGCAGTGGCAGAGATGGGTGCTGAACAGACTAAAACCCCCTTCCATGTCCCCCTGTGCCACTGTGGGAAGAGTGTAAAGAATTTGTGAGTGAAGTTGAGCCCAGGAAGAAGGTAGAAGTGGGTTGAGATGTTTGGAGATTTATTTTCTATTTTCTCATTATCCTACTTTGGTTTGATCGGTAATTAACATTTTTCCAGACGAATCTGTTCTTCATATTATGGTTATTGCTGAGTGATCTCTCCCTGCCCATGTCCCAACCCATGACCCTTTCATTAAATTTTCTCTTCCTGGTCCCTCTGAGGAAGGGAGTGACAGAACAGCTTTGGTGGCACCTAGTGTCCAGCTAGAGCCAACCTCCCCCTAAGTACTAAGCTTCAAGTAGGCATGTCCTGTGACAGACAGCTAAGGTCTCTGAGCTCCTCTCCTTTGGAGAGGAGGAGGCTGAAGGATGACCCCTTTGCTCTCTACAGCTTTCTAAGGAGAGGGAGTGGAGAGGGTGGTACTGAAATCCTCTCCCTGGTATCCAGTGGCAAGGGGATATGTGGGAATGGTTCAGAGCTGCACCTTCAGACTGGACCTTTGGAAACATTTATTTACATTTTTTTTAGGGTAGTCAAACACAGGAACAGTCCTCCATGAGAGCTGGTCGATGCCCCGAGCCTAAGAGGCATTTGGACAAT